GACACCTTGTGGTCTAAGCATATGTATGGGACATTTTGATGCTACCAATTTTAGTTAAATTTCATAGCTGTTTAACTATTTTCATTATTTGTACTATATGCCACAAAATGTCTGAATGAAGCCCCCGTTGCATGGCATATTGCATGACATATTTCACGTTAATGCTTTGCAGAATAAATGCGTTCAAAACCTGACCCTTTTCGTTACATGTTCGTTTTTTGTACTCGCAAAGTGTACCCCCATAAAGAAAACAAAGACGTAGTCCTACCTCAAAAAAAAAAAGTAAGAGGTTGTATGCAAGACTCCACCGTAGATTTGACGTAGGATTACGTGCTCGGTATCAATATTCGGCGACTGTGTTAGGGAAATCACTTTTTCCTATCAAGGAAACGCATCGTTTTCTGTTGACAAAATTACGCATTTTCGTGCGCAAAACGCACGGAGTTTTTTGTGTGTATTCAATAGATACTAAAAAAGCGAAAATTGATTGAAGGAACTTCTTGCTAAAATTTTCCAATCGCGAGACATTCGCGATCAATCATATAAATTCGAGATTGTTTTTGCTTTTTTCTAGCGTCCTGGAGAAAACCTTACCTTAATTCGAAGTGTTTCTTGTTAATTGACAAGTTCATGTGGTATTCGGTCCACAAACGATTGGTTGCTGGGTACATTATCAAAGAGCTGAGCTTTGGGGGTGATGTGGCTGGTAGCAAGGCGAGCGAACGTTCAATGAAAATTAACTCTTAAACAGCAATAATTTATGGCGGTCCTGAAAAGAACCGTTTTGTCGTGATGGTTGAGTAGTGCTGAGCTATTAGGGTTTTCAACACGGATGAGGCTGGCAAGCTGTATATTGTTTGGAACGAGGGTGACGTGCTTGGCATAGATGGCCCACAGCGACTCACGAAGAGCTACTGAAATCGATTGTTCGGTGAATGGACGCTCATGTGGGCTGCAGCTCGCTGCTTGCGGGCAGCCTTTCGTTGTGTACTGGAGAACAATGCTCGAAGCCACGCGCCGAAAGCACCACTACTGCTGTTGGCGATGACGACCGACCGGACGCCACCACCGACGGTGATTCAATTAGCACCGTTCGGCGAAACCGGATGGAATTTGATTTTGAAATCTGTGTTTGGGAAAGCGCTTTTTGCAGGCAATCGGTGATAATTTTGATCACCATTGTAACTTGAAAATTAATAAAGTGTTCATTTTAGCAGATTCGTAGAAAAAATCCAATCGATTGGCTTGTTTAGAATTAAAATCCATCCGCTATTGACAGAGCTATAAGTGGTCAAAGCCTGACCATTTTTCATAACGCGGTCGAATTTTGATTTTTGAAATTGCACCACCAATATGCCAATACCGAAAGACGTAATCCTACATCAAAAGACGTCGTCATTCAATGTGACAGCAGAGGTGTGGACGGTGGAGCTGTACTCATGCAAAATGGACATCCTATCGTCTACGCGTCGAATGCTCTCAGCAGCACCATTAGAGAAGAAGATTCTAGCTATCCTGTTCGCCTGTCATCAATTCCAGCTGTATATCATTGGGAAGCCAGTCACGGTAGAAACGGGTCATCAACATGCTGAAAATTCATCAAAAACCATTGGTTGAAGCTCCCCTCTGTATACAACGAATGTCGTTGGGCCTACAGCGTTATCGAATCACGCATCGCTTTACAACCAGGTAAGGAAGTGGTAATTGCAGACATGCATTCTGGGGCAGCACTCTCCGACTGGGATGCGACGAACTTGGAAATGTACGATGTTTATGAGGTACAGTAGATCAACAGCATTGACTTCATACCTATCTCAGATGAGCGAATAGAGCAGCTTACATCGGAGTCTCGAAATGATCCCGAAATTCAAACGATCATACAATACACCATTGATGGATAGCCGAGTAAGACTAAAGTACCGAAGGCGCATAAGACCCAAACGCAATGTGGGCGCTTGGGCCTTTAGGATTTATTGGTCATATCGAGAGGAGTTCGGCAACCACATTAGATTGGTTTACCGGAACGATAGGATGTTGGTATAATATTTTGGAAAAACTACACCAATCACACTCGGATATCGAAGCAACGATGAAGCTAGCAAGAGACACTGTATTTTGGCCTGGCTTAAATCATCAAATTCGTCAAACTTTTCCAATCTGTGAGGTTTATAGGGTTAAATATCCCATTTCCGACCTATTAAGCACAACTCACACTTAGTCTTTCTTAATCTAGCGTAACTTAGCACCAAACGGAATGTTATTATTACTGATGCCTTCCAAATTTATTGACCTTTCCGTACGTACTGTAAGATTTGATAAGGAGAAACAAATTGTTGAGATATTGTTAAAAGTCTAACACTGCTTCTCGACGCCAAACTCGGCCTACGGATTCTAAACTCGTCCTAACACATTGTAACGCCATTGAAACGCCATTGAAACGCCAATGAATTCACTTCGGCCTATTGGATGAAGATAAAGATTGATTCGGTTGAAGCGCTTCATTTGTATTTGATAATATTGGGTTCAAACATTCATATCACGCGTTCTTACTGACTTTGTTCGATAGCATTTGAACTAAATTATCGTACCAAACGCATAATTTACCTGTTAACGCCAAAATCATGGATTTATTTGATGTTTTCTGCTTGATAGGCCCAAAATGGGCGCATAGGCCGAAGTAGTTCCCTACCCTACAAAGTTAGCTGCCAGTCGGCAAGCGCAGCCAGTCACTAAATATCGTGCTACCCGTAGCAAAAAGTTAGCATTGATTTGTGCGAGGTCGAATTTGACTGTAGAAAGTCCGTTTACTTGATCAACTCCAGTCAAATTTGGGTTGATCTCATTGGCCGTGTATAACGGTCCATTGAAAATTTTACCGCTTTGTACTCCCTAATAAAAAATAACCATAAAAGAAAGTTTAACAACGTGTTCGGGGTATCATCCAAACCATTTGTGGGATAGTTTACCCATCCGGGATACAGTTCGTTTATGGTATTTGTTTATTAGCAGCTGCTGTTCAAAAACCCGGTAAAATTCTACTGACTTCGGTGATCTGTACATAAGTCGGCTGTTGGAATCTCAGCAATAACAATTAAGTGTGTAGTTGATTACCAGAATCCAGATTGGTGACGAAACAGGACGGTAATGAATGCGAACAAATCAGGTTCAAACTATAGAAGATAAATCAATGGAAAATAACGAACAAAGATGCTGACTATAATCGCAATTTTATGGCGCAAATCAGAGATGATAATGATTATTAATTACTATCTACCGAAGCCGTAACATTTTCAGGGAATGTAATTGAATCCGAACAAGTCTAATAATAAGAATCATAAAGATACATTGTCGTCAGCGAAGCAGAAAGCCGGAATTGTTGCTAACGTTTCTAGACAGTTCTCTGAAGAATTGGGTGCGGAATACCACCGACCCGACGATTGTGCACGGCGAATGAGAACGACCCAAATTTAAGCTTAGTTTACTCATAATCGCAGAAAGTGCAGGAGCTAACCTCAATAATCTTCCGAAAAATGAGGAAAATCGATGAAAATTTTACTTAGTCTATGAGTAGTGCAATCTTCACTTTTCACATATTCGGGAAATATTTCCTGGACCAACCTGGAAAAACGTGAGGCAAATTTATTCATCGCTGAGTTCCTGCACTTTATGTGATTTATGAAACTCAAATTTGGGTCGTTCTCATTCGCCGTGTGATAGACCGGTATCTACGCTTCTGTTATCTTTTCAATAATATATTATATTTCATTGGTTTGGATGGCCGAACCTCTGCACAATCGGTAAAACATGCAAAACCAGTTTTTTTTCTAATTTAATGTTTTTTATTTAGTTTCTGAAGTTGACTTATGAAAAACGTCGCTAGGTTTTTTGAGCCTCAAAAGGATCATATTCGAGATTTTGTAGGACATAGGATGTTTGACACAATATTTGTTCATTGCCTGTTTTTAACTACTAATGAATCATAAGTAGTCAAATTCCAAGAAATAAGGAAAGGCTTTTCATCGCACCTGAAACAAGTTAAATCTCAAGTTGGCATCACTGTCGATGACGACTGATAAGAAATTCAAATTAGTGAGTACATTTGGGAAAGACAGCCTTCGCTCGTTTGTTTTGTTTCTTCTTCACGGTGGCTTATGCCCTCCGAATGCGAAACATTTTCACTTTAGTGCTGTATTTTGCCTACCTAGTAGAAATAAATATTACCACGTCATTCAAGCACACATATTGCGCTAAGCCTACTCCGCTATGGGCAGACACTCTCATCTGCTTACCATTCAACCGTGTAGTGCTGTTGTACACTGCTGTGATAGTCAGAGCAAGAGCAAGAGGCCTCTATCGTACATATACCTATATGCGTGACGTAAATTGATCGCCTGACATCGACGAATACGACTGATATCGGTCCAGGGGCCACATTATGGAACTAAGCCGAAACGACTGTTTTCATACAAGCGTTCATACGAAAAACGCTTCGTTTCGACTTCCCCAATGAGGTCCATAATTTACAACCTAATTGGCTCAGTCAGTTCGAGAATGAAACCTCCAAAAAGTCAAATTTCCTGATGTGCCAGTTATGGCCTATGGAGTTCAAATGGAGCAAAGCCAGAACTGGTACAGCTACCTTAATTTGCGAATCGTTGATCAGAGGTTTTTTTTATTGCTTTTCACGACAGACGATGCTAGTTTAAGAGCAAGCGAGCCAAAAACCTGTGCTGAAGGTCAACACCCTCCCCTGGTTTCCATCCGTGCACCATTCGAGCTCACCCGATGCTTCTGATTCAGATCCATGGTCCTTGGTCTCATCCAAGCAGCGAAGCATGTACAAATATTATCCACGGAATCAGCCAATACCAAAGCAGCACGTCAACTTTCGGCCGAAGAGACACGCAATCCTTTGAAAAATTACATAAATCCCTTCGGTAGACACGTATCCTGGGAATTTTACTGTCAGCAGCACATGAAATCAACATATTGGAACTCACCGTCGACGAATTCTTCTCGAAGCGCCTTGCAGAACTGGATCAGTGCAACATAAAACTTAAAACTTGTGAAATTCAGAAACCACCACACTTCACACAATTTTCACTTTACAGAAATAAAACAACACCTAGTCACGCGTACACTTGAGTCGCACAATATAAAAAAAAAACTCACTCTGTTTACCAACTCTCCTCAGGGTAGGCAATTGGATGGATGGTTGGAAAATTTTCCTCTGTTTATGGACAGAATTTACAAGACATAGAAATACGCCCGAATAAATCAAACTACGCCTCGCTTCTAGCACCAGTACTGGCTACTGCTCAATAAACATTCAAAACACGGGACCTACTATGACTATGTGCACACACACTGAAGAAAGGATAACAAATGTAAGGAATGTCACAATTTTTCATATACACACAGCCGCACAATAACACTCTATGGCTAAAATAGATGGACTAAAACTTCTTGTCAAATTGCACACTGTCTTTCCGTTCTGTCGGTATGGATGCCACTACATGTGTACATGTGTGTAACATCCGTACACGCCACAGGCGAGTAGAAAGTAGGCATAAGGTGACACATCTGTCAAGTGGAAATTATGCTTTGACGTTTGTTTGTTCGTCGAAAAGTTTGTGTGCGTATAATCCTATAGGGTTTGCACTACCGGATCATACAATAAAATACAAACGGTTGACCTGACCACTCCGTTGACATTACCAGCCAATTCAACCGGTGGAAACTAACGATTTAAAATTGGCTCACTATTTGACTAGCCTATTGGTCCCAAGCAAATCGATTAACGTACCCCATTCACAAACGAAGTGACAGACGACTAACTGGCGAAGAAATCCATTTAAATAATGTGGTTCACTGTAATAGAATTTTCTTGGAAGCTTGTGCCATCATCCACCAGATGGGTTTGTTTTTTTTGTTTTGATTTGAACAAAGTTGATTTTGTGTACAATGATTCTTCGACAGTGTGCAAAGAGTGCGTATCATTTTATCATTTTTAATGCATTTCAGTTTTGAGTAGAGTGAAAGAGATAGAACCAAAACATTCTAGTACATTTGGTGAAAATGCTAGTTCAATCTAGTAGTAGCACAAACGAAGTGACAGACGGAGCGGCTCGAAAACTTTGGTGACTAACCTGCTATTGCAATTTTTCAGTGTACCACATGGCAACACCACTACTACTGGATTGAACCACATGGCAACACTACTACTGGATTGAACTAGCATTTTCACCAAATGTACTGGAATGTTTTGGTTCTATCTCTTTCACTCTACTCAAAACTGAAATGCATAAAAAAATGACAAAATGATACGCACTCTTTGCACACTGTCAAAGAATCATTGTACACAAAATCAACTTTGTTCAAATCAAAACAAAAAACTAACCCATCTGGTGGATGATGGCATAAGCTTCCAAGAAAATTCTATTACTGTGAACCACATTATTTAAATGGATTTCTTCGCCAGTTAGTCGTCTGTCACTTCGTTTGTGGTAGTAGTGTTGCCATGTGGTACAATCCAGTAGTAGTGGTGTTGCCATGTGGTACACTGAAAAATCACAATAGCAGGTTAGTCACCAAAGTTTTCGAGCCGCTCCGTCTGTCACTTCGTTTGTGGTACAAAGTCCGCCATGTTTCACGCACAGTCTGTCGTTTGCTTATGGATTTTCTCATAGGAGTAAAGAGCTACAGAGTCGCCGTGAACGTCAATACAATAGTTACCTCTATGGTACAATTCTAAAGGAATTCTACGGAGAGTTCTAAGAGAATTACAAGGAAAATTCTAAGAGCATCTCGGAACGAGTTTTCAGAGAATTTTCATAAGAATTTAGAGCTTCATGATTATTCTGAGCAATGTTTTAAGACAATTCTGCATGAACTGCGTGCTAATTACCAATGACCCATCAACTCATGGATCGGGTACCAACGGCTTTGCTTCCCTCCCGAAGGAAGGCGTGATAAGAGATTTTATGCCTCCGAAAATCTTGACGGCGCCGACAGGGGCTGACAAAATCGGGTCATTACTGTGTATGCCTTCAGCGGGATGCATTGGTCCCATTCGAGGTATTCTTATCATTCTCAACAGCTGACATCTACTAAATTGACCTGAAAAAGAACTGGCATCACTGCTATGTTCGGTGGCGGGGGGAACAACTAAAACCTTATTTGCGAAGTATGTGATTGTAAGTGTTCTGTCCCTCCCCATGGACATGGAGGTTGACGGTACTGAAGCAAAGGGTTATGTTTAATTTCTTTATATTTGCAACGATGATGATTTCCTATAGTGACACATATCACCTTCTTAATGCTTCAGCATGCCTCAAACGATTAATTCTTGGTTGTTAATATAGAACTTCCTTGATGAAATCGGCTGCTTCATGCAGACTGAGCAATTCTGATTACAGTATCAGATTTGTTCAGTATACAGAGGAACTGGGAGGGCTTATTAGAAACTTCTCACCAATAAAGTAATGATCTTCTAGTAAATTGTGCATATAATTCTATTAATATTTCATTTTATTTAAGCACATAATTTTTTTTACAGTCAATTAGCATTAGCATGCGATACAAGAGATTTAATATTACTTGCTCGTTTTTGCGTAAAATAATCAATATTTATTTTACTTGTAATTACCTTTGAGAGTTTTTTTCAAGTTTTTTTTTTTGTGATCTGAAAATTTTCCTAGTTTGGTTAGAAGTTTCGAAGCTAACGCATGTCCACAGGCCTAATAGAAAGATAGGCAGAAAAAGTGTATCATAAAGAATGGTTGCATGCAGGGTTGCTTCCACTAATTTGCTATAGATGAGAGATTTTCGGAGTTTTGAATTCGCTAGATGTTGTATTGGGGATTTGTATTTGTTGGATACGGGAGGAGATTGGAGGGCGGGTTATTATTATTATTATTATTATTTATTAGTGACACTTTATCTTCTTCTTCTTCTTCTTCTTCTTTCTTAAGCGAGCTATCTGTTTGACAGCTCTAGATTAGGGCCAGTGTCTAGACTATATGCCCTGACACTTTATCACTTCTGTGACATTCGTGTCTCTTTTTTATGACAGATTGAATTATCTTACGAACTAAATTTCTTTGAATAAATTAGCATCTTTCAAAAATTTAATTACTGCTTTTTCTTTGCTGGAGGTGTTTGCAAGAACATTTGTTATTGTCCCATCGATTCCACAGTTTTGCCTAAATTCGGCAAATCCTCTGCAATCCACAAGTATATGATGCACAGTAAGTCGAGTTCCACAAAAACAGCACATTGGTGGAGATTTGTTTTCCAACACGTGAGAGTAAGTCAGCCGAGTGTGCCCGATGCGTAATCTGGTAAGAGCTCGCTGCTCAGATGAATTTTTTCTGTCAACAAATTTGCCTGCAGTCGGTTTGATTTGACGTAGGTGTGCCCAGGTTTGTCTCCACACATTTTCACAAACACACCAAATGCTTTGTTTAATAAACCGCACAGCATCCTGGGGTGGAATTGGCATGTTTGGTGGAATTCCCTTCCGCCCTTGATTTGCCAGTTTGTCAGCTTCCTCATTTCCCAGAACTCCTGCGTGACCGGGAATCCAACAAAACCCAATTTTAGTTCCAATAACTTCGCGTTCAATTGCTTGGATCCAAGGATGAGTTGATTTCCCATTTTGAAGAGCGTCTAGACAGCTGGTCGAGTCGGTAAATATGATTGTTGGTTCGTCTTTGCTAATTTCTGACACAGCAGCTTTGAGCGCAAAAGCCTCTGCAGAAAATATACTGCAGTTTCCTGGCAAACTGAAGGCAGTTCTTTTCGTATCTGTAACAATTCCCGCACCAGTCTTCTCATTGTCCTTATATCCGTCGGTGAATACTTTCCTGTGTGTTGAGTATTTATTTGTTACAAACTCAACAAACATTTGCACAACAACTTGACTTGAAGTGCCTGCTTTTACTTTCTCCCTCAAGTCGTTACTTATAGATGGTGATGGAGTATACCACTCTCTATTGGTTAGTCTTAGAACACTACAGATGTTCGGCATGAAGACTCCTGTTACTGCTAGAAACAGATCAGATGCTCGCTTAACCAATGGTAGGTCGGCTACTGATTTGTTTTTTTTCCACAAGTCGTATTGCTAGTTGTGATAGGCGCTGGATTAGTATTAGACGAAATGGAAGACACCTCGCTTCAGCCATAATGGAGGTAATTGGACTAGTTCTGAACGCGCCAGAAGCTTGTCGTATCACCTCATTATATGTTGGGGTTAGAGTACGTTCCATAGCTTCGATGTTGATGCTGGTGAAACCTAGGCCGTACAGTAGCTTGGAAGTCACGAGAGCTGAACCAATGGTAAGGAGAGTTGAACGGTTGCTTCTCACTAGACGACGTCCCAAAACTCGAAGTACGTTTAATCGCTGCACACAGCTACGTTTGGTTTGTGCAAAGTGCTGAAGAAGATTAATTTTCGCATCTATCAACACACCAAGAATTCGCATCTTTCTAACACGTGGTATAGGAGTACCATTGACTTTGATAGCCCGACTACGCTTTCGATGTTTCGTATTGCAGATGTGTAATAACTTTGATTTTTCCGGAGCGATAGCAAATCCAACGCTCGTAGCCCAGTTGGTTAATTCAGTAGCTGCATTTCGTAAGTGTTTCCGAATTTGTGCAAAGTTTCGTCCCTTAGCAATCAAAATTACATCATCAGAGTAAACTACAATTTGAACATTTAGTGGAATCTTTTCGAAGATAGGTTGCATTGCAACTAAAAATAGTGTGACCGACAGAATAGATCCTTGTGGTACACCGTTTTCTGCAACACGCATGCCGGATGTTGCTCCATTAGCTGTAACCCTAAATGTTCTGTGGTTAAGGAAACTAATGATGATGTTCAACAAGCGGCCGTTTATTTTCCATGTTGTCAGAGTCTTGAGGATTGCGGGTCTCCAGATGGTGTCATAGGCTTTGGAAATGTCGAGTGATACTACTTCTGCATGTTGGTTCTCGCTGAGCTTGAGTAGTGCTTCCAACTGCGCCAGGTGTGAATCAGTGCCTTTGCCAGCACGGAAAGCGTGCTGGCGAGGGTCGAGTTTGCCGTTGTTTTCAAACTCTGTGAGAAGTCGACGGTTCACCATGCGTTCGAATGTTTTTCCTAGACAGCTTAGAAGGGCAATCGGTCTGTATCCGTCTGCTTTACTCCGATCTCCATCAGGTTTTGGAATTGGAATAACTATGCCTTCTTTCCACTCATCTGGGAATGTGCCACTTGTCCATACTTGATTGTACAACTGCAAAAGCGACAACTTCGCTGAGAATGGTAGGCGTTGTAGA